TATATATATATGTATATATAAATTGAAATCTTTTTAATCCTAAATAATTTTTCCAGCTTGTATAATTGAGATGGAAGTACATTGAAAACGCTATTAAATTTTAATTTATCCAAATTTCAGAGTTATGGAGCAAAGTGTAGAGTTACTGCGACCTGTATTCGTGCACATATTATGCAATCCTACCATGGATATGAGTGAGAGTTGTAAACGGGAGACATGGCAACTTTTAATGACATCAAATAATACTACAGATTTACAAACAGAGATCTTACTCTGGTTATGCACAAATCGAGCGGACACTTGCATCGATGCGAATTGCCAAGTTCTTAAGCTTGCGGATATGATGTTACTAAAAAGAGATACAGAATTTTGCACGGCATTAATACCTTTAATCGCTTCTTTGACAATACAGCTTTTGGAATACGGTCATGAACCAACACAAAATTTTTGCATGATATTGGATCTCTTTGAATGTTGTTACAACTATATAGGAAATATTACGCTAGTTTTAATGGCAGAAATAATTTTGATATGTCCTGCAACTTATTTATTTAACGTTCTCCAAATATGTAAGTATATTTATAAAGTAAATCTAGCCTATTTCACTTTTATATTTATATAAAACATTATGTATTTCATAAAATCATTTTTTTTTAAAGGCAGCAATATTATTTAAAGAAATTGCAAGATTTAATTTGAATCATTTTGATAGGTGCAGTTATTGTGAATAAAATGCCATGTCACGTTACGATATTAAATACATTAGCTGCAGCCTTATTAAAGTGGTTGGCCTATCCATCGTTATTATGCGCTGATGCGTTAGTGACAGCAAAAGAATTGTTAATCAAGATAATGTCACAAAAGGAAATGAATAACAGTAACGGTATCACATCAAACAAGATGCTGCTCATATTTAGCTATAGCAATAGATACATTCAATTTTATATGGAACTCATCCGCAGTCTATATTCTCTGAAAAATAACACTCTATCATGGTTAGAAAACTTGTCTCTCGCACCGATCGATCTGAGATATATGTGCAAACTGGTATTATGCGGGATCTTTTTGTGTAGTGATGAACCTCTTGTTGTCCAAAAAGTTTGTCATATCCTCGTGCAAATAGCGAGAGAGATCAACTCCTTCGCGTCGCACGTATTGTCGCTGTTGCTGCACAAATTAACTAAGACTCATGATAGCTCCACATTGAAATATCTGTTGCTGACTGTTCCCGAGTTTGCTATGACTAAGGAAAACCTACCGATCGTCATCCACACGTTGGACACATTACTGAATAGCGGCAAGCCACTGAAATATTTCGCAATCCAGCTTTACGTAAAGGCGTTGGAAAAGGAGCCACGTTGCTATCGCTTCATATCAACTGCTTTAATGGATGCTATGGAGAAAGATCATAACTGGCATTCGGACGTGACATGCGCTCAGGCGATAAAGTGTATTTGCGAGAGTTGGCCCGAGCACGGTGAGGAACTTGTGCCGCTGTTGTCACAAATCCTAAATCGCGTTGACCCGAATGGAGGTGCGGCCAGTGCACTCGCGCTTGACAGCATCTCGGCTCTGTGCAAGTTCACGGTGATAGGTATTATAGTATTATATCTTATATTTTGTATCTTGAGATATTGAATTCTTTTTAACGTTAGTGTATCGATGTTTTATTTGTTATCCTTGTTTTACATAATTCTCTGTAAACGCGGATCTGGGTGCCTAATAATATTTTTTGTGTGAATTTTATAATTTTAATATATAATTTAAATGTTAAACTCACTTTGAATATGGTCGTTCTAATTTGTAAATATTTCTCGTTCGATTTTCACTTAATAGTGTTCTCTGTAACAATTCTCATTTTCTATGATTAACTCAGGCGATGATTTTACTTGACAGGAGTTTATTCTACATGGCAAGTATTAGCACCAAAGATGCGCAAAGAAAAACGCACGGTGGTCCTGGAGAGTCTATGCGAGTTGTTCAGTAACATTCCCTCGTACTCGTTTCGTGCGAGCGACGATTACAACAGATTCATCACTGATGTTGTTACGATTTTGTGGAGCTACACGATTTGCGACGATATCAGAGTCGCGAAAGCGGCGTTTAAGGCATTGAAAACTTATCAGGTCGACCGAATTCCTTTGACTGCTCTGCCTCTAGACTTCCAATCGGATAGCATGATAAAACAAGCATCTGAAAAGGCGAGTAGTGAAGGTAACAAGTCCGAGGTGCTGCAGTACATACCTAGCACTTGTTGGATCCAGATGCTGAAGAATGTGAATAGGAGTGTCTTATCAGCAGCTGGAGATCTTTTGATTTCTTATATTAAGGACGAATTGAATGGCTTCAGATCACAAATATATACTTGGCCACAAGGAGAACCACAAAACTATAAGTACCTGCCAGAGAGAAGTGTGATAAGGGCGATCGGTGAGCACTTGAGACGAAGTGACAAACTGGATCCAAATAATCAGACAATCTTAGTGGAGTGTTTGCGTATATTTGCTCATAAGCACAAAAAACCATTGCCGAATATAAAATGGGACTTTTTGGAGAAAACTATGCATATATCGAAGAAAGCTCAGGAATATAGTCTATCCATTGCGAGTCATCATTGTCAAATCTCGCTATCGGCGAAATTGCTAACAGAAAGTTTCTTGTCTATGTATACGTCCATATCAGAAGCTGGTCGATTGCTGCTGGATGAGAAACACTTAGTGCTTTACTCGAATCTGCAGGAACTATGCCAGGCTATTCAGCCAAATAACTTAAGAAAATTCATCGAAACTTCTCTTCATTATGCCATTGATCAAATTTTATTGAATAACGAAAAGTCCGTTTATCTATTCAATCATATTATGTCTTCTTATGTTACTGCTTTAAAAAACAATTCGATACAAATAGGAAATCGCACACTGCTAACCACCATGTTGGAAGAGATATCGCAAAAAGTCGACTTAACGTCTAAACATTTCGAAAAATATTTTGCGGCTATGATGGAATTGTTGACCAAAGATGTCGAAAGAATGACGTCGCCTTACACCTGGTGGGTAGTAACACCAGAAAAACTGAAAACTGCTATCGCTGTTAGAGTCCAAGCAGCCTTTAGGGAAGATACTGGCACGCCATTCACTTGGCTGAATGTCCTTATCAACACGACCGAATTTAATCCTGAGTAAGTATACAACTATTACAAATAACTCTCGCAACTTGCCAAGTTGCCTAATAAAGTTTCCTGTTTTTATAGGATGCAAAAATATTTGTTAGAAAGTATACAAAAAGTGCAGGCTGAGTTGAGATCGGAAAAATCCTGTGATCTGGAAATACAAAAAGACTGGATTTTAGATTTTATGAGACATATCGATGTGCTTATAGTAGAGACAGAACATAAGAAAAACAATATAACTTTTTACTGTGATATTTTATTTGTCTTGATTATCTGTTTGTCCGGCATAGAATGTCTCCTGCCGCAAAAAGAATTGCTAGTTACTTCGCAAGACATTAGAATAAGACTGTTTCCACAGGCGATCTCTTTGCTTATTGATCGACAAATTTGGAAATCCATAACACGTCAGGTATGTAAACTTGTATTTTGTCAGCTATAGATAATATAAAGATTTATATAATCTCTTGATTTTTAACAATTAGAAAAAACATTACATTTATGTATTACAATTGCAATGGCATTTTTCGTCGCAAAACGAGCAATATGTCTATTATACATTAAATTGTGTTGATAATTTTTTTAGATTATGAAATGGCTGAATCACATGAGGAGCAGTTCTGTACCTGATGTATATATACTTGCATTTCAAAGCGCGTTAATCTTATTAAGACATGAAGAAGACTACAACTCAGAATGGAAAAATTATTTGTCAGTTAAAACTCGTATTTAAATATAACTAAAGATACGTATACAATAAATATTTTTATATTAAAAAAAGGGAAGTTTTCTTATTGAACTGATTTACTTATTCGTATTACTCAGCCTTGAATTTCGTTAACGATAATAAAAAATCTTACAACGTATACTTATACACCTGATATCCTACTTTAACGTCTATATCTTATTACTAATAAATAAAAAAACAATTGTTATACAAGCTTTGATAAGTATATACATACGCTTAGGTCCATATTCTTATCGCATGATTAACACTCAATTCATTAAATTGTTAACAATTTCTATGTTTAAACAGTGACGTATAGAAAAAGATATGCTAATCTGTTATTCTTAATTAAAAGACAAACATTTAAAAAAGAGGACAGAGATAACTTTCTAATATTTTTTAATTACTGTGAACATTTTCCTAAATTTCAATAGGGATATGTAGATCTATATGCGACCGAGCATATGTAAGTTTTAGTAATTGTTTATGGAGTCAATTGGAAGATAATGTGCGATTATTGACTTAGCGCTATTACCTGAAAAAATTACATGACGAAACGGACGCTCTTTAAAAAAAGAGCGTTTCTAGTCTAATTTTCTAATTCGGCGATCTCTACACACCATTACTTTTTATGTACATCAGTACTTTTTAAAATATTTTGCAAGCGATGCTGGTGCAAAGAGCGCGAAAATTCTATTTTATAAGGCTCTTTTGCATAAATGTAAAGTTCATATAAATATAAAATAAATCACAGAAAGAAACGTACTTGCTCGTTGTATATAAAATATATGTCGATCCATATGCAACTTGAATAGAATGGCGAGCATAGGTGCATTTATTAGTAAAAGTAAAAATGTGTATTAATAAATTCCTAACTAAACCGGACGTTCTATTTTCGTATAATTTAATATAAATTATTTTTTTTTGCATATATCTATCTACAATTTCCTCGTCACATATGTTGTATGTGACGGCACTCATAATGCTACACGGACGTCTCGCTATTATCTAATGTCATTACTGTTAAAGTATTAGGTCTCGAACCAGTTAGAATTTGTTCCTCGGGCGGACGCATCCTGGGTTCCAAAATATTTCTCTTTGTCTCCACATTCTTTTTGATTGGCGTGCGACTAGGACTGGACTTTCTGCTGCTTGGATATGATTTTAATAAACGTGCCCTGTGAATAATTGATAAATTATACTTAAGTCTTTACCTTTAAATAAATCTTTTCTACTGTAGACATTTCGAATCACACTTACGCATCCATTAATTTCAAAAACAAGCGAGTGTACACTTGATACTCTTCGTCACCAAATTCTGTAGGGTCGTGTCTCGCATGTTCGTACAAATCACAGAACTGGTGAATTAAACGCTGACCGCTTCCATTTAATGGAGTAGCGAGTGTGGTGAGCAAGTATGCCCTCAGATTTTCCGAAGGATGTCTCTTTAGACAATTGTCGTACCTTGTGATCTCTGTCTCTGTAAATATCACATGAAACAAGGGTCAGATATCAAGATAAAGATATCACATGAAACAAAGCTTGAGATCTTTTTATAGCTGAACTGATGTGCACTTTTTGTATTTATAAAGTAAAATAGATATAAGTATTTAATGTTTAGCAAAAGTGAGAAGAAAAGTACAGTCCAATGCAATAATAAAAAACAAACCTTATGGCGGAATAGTGACTTACCTAAAGTTTTAACATCGTCAACAGCTTTTAATCTGTAATAATGCGGTGGAGCTTGTCCACCTGGAGTCAAAATATATCTAGGATCGCTAATCAACTGTGGCTCATATTGGATCCTAGGTATCACTTCTATTCTTCTTTCTATTTCCTTCTTCAAGGACTGAAACATTTTCAGTATATTTAACTGGAGCATATAAATCCTAGTGATATATTGAGACATTTTCCTAATTTTTAAATAGTATAATGACTTCGAATAATTTCAGTTTTATTTTTCACGATTTTGTTCTATTTATATAAATTAATTATCGTTCTATAACTTTTTTATATAATTGAAAAATTTAAAACTTCTAAAATACTAATAACAAAAAATTAGTTTCCCACATATTCCTTTGGCATTACAAAAAATTATATACTTGTCTTGGGTTAAGCAACCATATAATAATAAGTTAACCTCAAAATTACATTGGATCGTAAAACATACTTTCTTCGCGTCGTGTCCTATAGGAATGTGAGGACCCCGACGAGATCTCAAAGCGAACCTCATGATCTGCCGTTTCGCGAAGATGAATAGTAACAATATTGTCAAAACACCCGCTGCTATAAATATCACTATAGTCACACCAGACAGCTCCTGTGTCATTCTCGCACGATAATCGAGGCAATTTGCTTTCTGCAAGTTCGCGAACAATTGTTGACGAGCACTAGTTCTTATCTGAGAATCGTATATCGCTCTGGAACAATAATGTCAACTGTCATTCGTACTTTCGAATAGAAAAATCTTCTATCAGCCGATCCGCGTACGGAGTTGTATCTCGCGCGCATCACTTTTAATTAAATTAATAGTTATTAATATCTACATCGAACTTTTAATTAAGAACAAATTATAACAATGAATACTAATGTATGCCTTACTAAATAATAATAAATACGGAATCTCTGTCGTAAAAATAACGTACCCGTTTTATTGAAAAATTTAGAGGAAACATGGCGATCTTCTTCACTCCCATAAAAACATAAGCAATAAATAAAAGAAAAAAAGAGTAAATTGAGGAGTAAATTTATATAGTAGCTAAACAAGAAATGACAAGGAATTATAATTAATAGTTTTATGTTTGTATATCAAATATCTATGAAATTATATTCGAAACTCACTATCAAAAATCCAAGTCCTAATTTAGAAAAATATATATTTTAATTTCTAAAGATATACATTTATAAAAATACATTAACCGGAAAAAATTAGATAGACAATTATAGATGCGTCTTTACACATGTAATTTAGCGATTACATGTTCCTTAAAATATTTTCTATAGGTTTTTTGAATAATGTTTCATTAACAGCAGCAATTTCAGCCATTACATTTTTCTGTTCTTCAGTTAGTACTGTATTAATTTTTAAAAATGACAGTATAAATTTTCCGAAGTTTTTATCTTTGGAATAACAAAGTGCTTTTTCCAAAAATAATTTGATAATTTTATCAATCATGTTGTGATCCAGTCTTACAGATAACAAACTTTGCAACACAGATATATGCCATAATTTTAATTCCTCCACACATGCAAGAAACTCTCTGTAAAAACATAAAAAAATTATTAATTTGTTTTCCCATTTTTAATTTTTAATTTTTGAAATAAAAATTACACTTTAAAATCATATATATTATATTATATGACTGTGTGAAATGTACCCTAAAAGAATTATTTTCCTTTGCTGATCAAACGCATTCACAATGGTGGTGACCAATGTTATATCTTTCAACTCAATGTTGAGAATAGGAACAAATATAAGTTGCTGAACTTCATCGGGAAATATTTTAATGCATTCAATGATAGCAGATGATAATAAACGAGATGGCTCTTCCAGTTCGATTATCTATGAATATAATGTGAATAAAAATTAATATATGAAAAAAAAGTCTAGTAGATATTAATAACATGTCATTGGTACCTTTAATAGCAACAAATGTGTGCAAAATATATTGAGATATTTTATTCTCTGCTCAACAGTCATATCATTCATCGACAGACACAGATTATAGATACCCTTGGGACTTAATTTTCTTGCCATCTCGTCCACCAATGGAACAAGATCTTCAACAGATAAGTTCTCTAACTGGGAGAAGTCTAGCTTGCCATTATTTCGTTCTAAATTCTCGCAAGCACATTCTAAAATATCACACCTTTGTGGCACTGCAGCAACAGATCTCTTCGGTTCTATAGTTCTCTCAGTTTGTGTAAAGTAAAATTGAGTAGACGGTGGTGGTACTGATTGGTCACAATTCGTTTGAGATCTGTTATTATCCATCGATTCATCCTTATCGTCGTTATCTTCACTCTCTGAACATATTTCTTCTTCTGTCTAAATCGAACAGTACGTATTTATGTTAAATTATATGTATAAGAATTTGAAGTATTATCTATACAGAATTTGGAATGATCTAATATTAATGATTTTTATATTTTCATAATTATTTCATCTTTGTAGAGATACGGAAGAGATACGAAAGAATTAGTTTAAAAATTAAATAATGAATATAAACTTCATACATTTGTTTAACTTATTGCACTGTTCAGAATGCAGCAATAAAAGAAACAGACCTACAATATATGAACTGATACAATTCTAACCTGTTCCTGTTCCGCTATGAGTTTCCACATCGGATTAGCCTGAGCAATGTTATCTTTCAACGCTTCCCTGATAGATTCGAGTTTCGCCATGGTTTCTTCTGATAACGTGTACTTTTGGTAAAAGGCTTCCGAATCCGTATTTTCCCGCATCATTTCGCTCGCGTTGCATCGTCTCGCGCATGTTCGTCGTGTAGTGTGTTGACAACAGGCCTGTTCTTTTTAACTGAACTTTTACACCAGTTCGACTTTCTTCCTTTTCTCTTTAGGAGGAAAGAAGAAGAAGAAAGATGAACTGGTGCAGAAATTCAGCCAAAAAGAACAGGTCTAGTGTTCAGATCAGTGATGTACCTATTGTCTCTTCTCAATAGGATACATTTTTTTAAAGATGTATATCTTCAACCAAAAAATTATTCCTGGACAAGAATTCAGAATAAGAATACTGGTAATAAATTTACTAATGTTATTTTAAATATTAAACTTTTAATGATATTTACGACTCTAAATTAAATTCGTTTATAAAAATTCAATAAGATGGATTTATTTAAAGTTGTACATAAATTTGTACACTTCGTTCAATAATTGGGCCACTATAACTAGTACATTATATGTTTAAGAAGTAACTAAAAAACAAACAAATAAAATAAAATAAAATTTACATGTTATAAGTTTTATTTAATTTGATACTTAAACACATAAATATCACATACATATGAAGGGAAAGCAACCTCGACACTGAACAATATTCAAAATGTATTTTTCATGCCCGCATGAAGGTCCGTCCCCGCTTATATCTTCTCCTATTTACTGGACGAAACGATAATTAAGATAATTCTTATATATTATTAGTTGTCGTAATCTAATCTTTTTTTAATAATTTCGTGAAACAATAAAAAGTTAATAATTCTATCCAAACAGCGTAACTTCGCTAATACGGATTGTTAATCATTAGGTCTGTTTTTGTGACTGAACTATCCAGTGTATACTTTTAGAATTTAAAATGAGATAAGATAAGTATATGTTTATATAATATTTGGCGAAAGCAAAAAAGAGTTTTAGTGTAGTCTAGTGCAAGAATAAAAAACAAATCTATCATTTGACAAGTTCATTAAAAAAATCGAGGCGAGTGCACCTTCCCAGTCGGTCACGCTGCTGGCACGGAGTCGCCTATCGCGCTACACGATGGTTTGCCTCATCACTAGCTGCTCGAGTTAGTCAGACAGTCACTATAGTCAGTCGTTGGCGATCAACGAGTGAGTGAAGTGCGTCGTAGATTTTTATGGATCAGCAAAGAGAGAAGCAGCGATAGCAGCAGATATTTATCAAGTGAATCCATGATCACGCCCGCAAGGAACGTCAATTTGCCAGAACGCTCAACCTTTTTCGGTGGCAAGGTAAGTACAATCACCATAGATCTGCGAATCTTCGCTCGTGCTCATTTTCTTCAATAACGTAGAACTCCGAGTCCGAAACCACTCTGAAGGATTTCTCGAGAACTCGGGACCATGCATTCTTGAAGTCTGAAAAAAGGCATTTGGGATTATCTCTTACATTTTCTTCACGAAACTATTTATGTTGTAGATATTTATGTTTGTGATAAGCGATGATAATGTATACGTGCGTGCATATATGTAAATATTATATAATTAATCGTAAATGCATAATTGTGGATAATTCTACATCAGAATTCAAGTATATATAAATATACATATTACTATGAACATGTTGAATTGGCTGACACTGATGGATTAACTCAACTGCAAACCACTATCGATATGACTATCATTCCTTTAAGCTTCATAGAATTTTCCTACCGCAAGAAATTTTCTTTGTTTCTAACACGCGATAAATGCTCTCCCTCGTGTATCACAAGAAAGATGAATGACGATTTGAATCCTGATCGAATGAAAATTATATACACACACATATATATGTACATAAATATATATATATAATTTATACATAACATTTATATATTATATACATATTATACATATAATACATATAAATATTATATCTATAAATTATTATATACATATTCTAACAATGATGTACTACAATGATCTACAATGATAATTTGTGTTTGTTACTGCAGAGCAATGCAAAAATGATGGCGAAATATGATAAAGTTTCCGTTTGACGTAAATCATTTATGATATATCCGCCGGATATGACACCCGCGTTATTTATCGAATTTTAATGGGAGATAAATTGCTTCGTATATAGTTCTGAATATCTTCGCTTCATTACTTGTTATTGAAAAAAAAGCGTAACAGGCAGATGTGTAATGTTACGAATAAATTATTGTTCGTGCGTGAAATAGCATATTATCATACATATGTGCTATTCGTTATACCTGAAACAGAGTACTTCGAGAAAACTATATTAGCATTCTATCATGTATATTTCAACACGTTTTATAATTATGTCTAACTTTATCGTACTTCCTCTTCTTCGTCATACTTCCTCTTCCTCCTCACTGTTTTTTGCATATATCATATTTTTTATTCATTGTTATACCGTGTATTTAGTGCTAAATATGATTCTTCGATTCTATGCGCGTGTCTGATTATATTACATGAGAATTAAATTATTATTAGATTCTATGTTAGCTTCAGGCTAAGTTTCGATCCATATTAATGTATTTAGATCAGGACTAATTTATTTCTTTCATTTATTCTTCATATATACATTAATTTATTCTAAAATAAATTTATAATATTAATAATAATGTAGACAGAAAAATATCATAATAAAACAGTATTAGTGTCGATTGTTAAAACCTACCTCTTAAAAAAGCTGCTGGCCACATGTAATGTAATATTATGACAAATTATAATAAAAAGAATTATAACGTTAGCACGTCAAAGTTCGAATCTTTAATCTTGAAAACAATTTTTGTTCTCGTTCGTTTCGCTATTCTCTTCTTTACTTTTTTTTTCTATATATGGTAGACTGCAATTTATAACTATCAATGTCGTTCTGCGGTTTGAAATAGAGCACGCATATGCAAAGAAATGGATGAAAATAAAAGAAAAAGAATTTAAGTGATCATATTAATATTTTATTTAACTCGTTCTTAAATTTTCATTCTTTCTTTTCTAATACATTATAGTTATGACATAAAAACTAATTAATCAGCAGTTAAATTTTTTTGGCAGTAAT